TGACCACTTGGGTTCCTCACAGCGTGGTGTTTAGGTTTCAAGCATGAGCATCTCAGGAGATAGGAAGTAGAGACTCAGTCTCTCAAGAATCGGACTGGCATGGTGTCTCTTCTGCTGTGTTCTACTGGTCTATTTGCAGTCACAAATCAAAGGGGAGGAGACAGAAACTCCAACTCTTGATGGGAGGAAAGTCCAAGATGGTTAGAGCTCATTATCTGGCTCCAAGGAAGGGCTTAAAAGTATCTGTTGAATGAATGAGTAGATGAATTGTGTAAGGACAGGTGCAGAGAGGAGCAGTATCTGGCATTTGAGGGAGATAATTGTTGGACAAGTTTGGCTGTAGTTGGTGAGGAGGTGGGTAGGGTTGGGGAAGTCAAGAGGATCTAGATTGATGAGGACCATGAACTCCAGGCTAAGGGGATGGGACCTGAGTGTGGGTTAGACTGTTCAACAGAGGGTAGCCATCTGAGTTGCCCAAGAGGAACAGGAGCAGAAGTTGAGGCCTAGATCAGGGCCTGGTCCAGGTGAAGTCCCCTGGGGTCAGTAGGTGAGTGTGCTTCTGACCTCAGGCCTTGTTTGGCTGTGGCCTTGATCCTTGTTCCAGCCAGCCCTCAGGCCTGACAATTTGTCCCTGGTACCTGTGGAATGAATGCACAGGGCACACTCAACACTAGAATCCCTGGCAGCAGAGGTGACATCCCAGCTAGTTCTCTGGGTTGGGGGAGCCAGTGGAGATTAGGGCTGGTCTGACCTTTGTAGTGGATGAGAATGGTGGGGTTCCTTTTGAAGCATGTTTATAAGCCTTCTGGGCCCTTGGGAAAGAATAGGGCTGCATTTACTCTGTGAATATATCTTCCTATGGCCATGAGCCTTTGGACTCTGAAGTCATGGGGATTGCAGGACATGGCTTCTTTCTTGGGTGCCTCCAGCCCTCTCGACCTTAAAGAATGAAACTCCTCAGGGGACGGTAGGAGTGTGTCCTTTATGGAGATTTCTCCAGGCCCTTCTCTGCCAAGCGTAGAAGCAGCCTGGGTTGCATGTACAGAGGTGGGCAGGATTCTTTGTGGCCCTCACCAAGGCCAGGCCTCCTGCAGCTCTATCTCCCTGGGTCCAGCCCAAGTCAGTGTGGGCTGGATGGCTGGATGATGTCAAGGTCACTGAGAGAGACTTTGAGCCTCCTCACAACAGCCCAGCTGAGGGAGGTCCCGGCTGACACGGCAACCACTCTGAGCGGAACCTGATCTGAGGGAGTGGACAGAAAGCAGGAGCTCGCCAAGGCCCTGACTGAAGCTCTGAGTCACACTGGTCTTTGTTCCTTGCTTGCTCTTGCCCTTGGCTGAGGGGCAGTTGGAGAGCCTTCTGCCAGCTCAGAGCACTAGCAATGTTACCTGTGTGGACCTCTTAGGAAACGTACCCTGGTGTGGGCAAGGAGGACAGAGGATAGACTTGGACATCTTGCTCCTGCAGATGTGATCGCAGCCTGACCATGGTGGTCACCCAGCTGAATCTGGAGTTTCGCTTCCAGGGCCAGAAGCTGCGAGGCTTCAGCTGTGAACTCACCCGGTCCCCCCATGGAGTCTTCCCTGAGACCATCTTCACTATCATTTGCCAGATTGTGGTGCCCATTCTACTCTCCGGCTTGGGCATGTTGACGGCCGGCCTGGTGATGAACACCATCCAAGTGCGTACTGGGCATTTGAGGGCCAGCTCAGGGCCCTGGGTGGAGGGTGAGGAGAACCAGGCTCCCTGGGCATCACGGATAGGACTGGCCAGGGGACAGCAGAGGCCCTGAGTGGAGCTGCAGCCCTGAGCCTGGCCTGATGTCCAGGAGTCCCACAATGGTGCCCGCCGCAGGTTCCTCCAGTAGCCTTGGGGAGGTTCAGATCCTCTGCCATTTGCTCACTCCCTGAGAAAATTCGTTAGCCTCCCCCTCATCAGCTTCCCCAGCTATAGATGGGGTTAACGAATGCACCTGCATCATAGGGTTGTGAGGGTGGGCACTGTTCCCTCCAGCTACCCCCATCTCTATGGGGCTCTTCATGGGAGGGGGACAAGGTCTGGAGCCTGGGCTGGGGTCCAGGCAAGCAGGGGGATGTGGTGATCTCTGTTGGGTGGAGGCATTTGTGGGGAGGCCTCCAAGTGAGCATACACTTCACTTCTCCTGATCTGCTTATGCCCTGGGGTTGGCTCAGGTGATGCTGTCTGAATCATCGAGGGTTGGCTCTGTTTGCCTAAACATCTTTATAGAATTAGTTTGTGATTCCAGAAAAACTAGACAATAAATCTAAGTGAAGAAGTGAGGGTGCCCATGAACTCTATCAACATTGTGGTGTGTATCTGTCAAGAAAGTATGGCATCATACTATATGATATGCTTTTTAGTCAGTGAAATTAAATTTAAATTTCATTTTGGAGGCCCTGGGGACATCCCAGCTAGTGTGTGCCTTCATCGGTTAAACCCATATCTCCTTCCCGATGACCACTCAGCATTCCCTGTGCACCTGTCTCTGAGGTGGAAAGGGATACTCAGCACCCACCTGTTCCCTGGCCTCTGGATGAGGCTCATGATGCCTCCTGGGTGGCCTCTGCTTGCACAGCTCAGCAGATGGTGCTCCTCCGTCCTGGGGCTGGGGCAGCTTGCTGTCAGCATTCATTTGGGCTTGCAGCCTAGATACCCATCTCTCCCACCTCAGAGCTTCATCCCTTGAGCTGCTCCAGTAGTCTCACCCCTTCCCTAAGACCCTTCTTTGGATCCTGGGGAGAAAGGCTCTGCTCTGGGTCTCTCCTTTTTTGACCTTCCATGACCTCCTTTTGGAGCATGGGTTCGAGCCCCTCCAACCACCTTGCATTTCCCTTACTTGCTACGGCCTGGAAAACTATTGATCAATCAGTTGAAGGATCTTGGTAGAGCCTAGAAGATGTGGTGGCATGTGAGGGGAAGATGGGCTTGGGATGATGCGTGGCCAACAATAGAGGTGGCACAGAAGGCCAGTCTAGGAAGAAGTCCAGCTGGACGGTGGAACGCCTCTCTGGGTCTGTGTGTCTAGCGTGCACAAGAAGGGGTGTCTTGGGCTCGGGCCCAGAGCAGACTGGGGGAAGATTGCAATTTCAGGCCTTGAGCCATCCAGCATAAGGAGGCCCAGCAGCTGAGAGAAACAGAAAACAGCCCCGGAAGACACTGCTCATTCCTTCTCCCCACTTTTCACTTCCAGGCAGTGAAATTCAAGGGCACTCAAGTTTGTGTGGCTCCTGCCTGTGCACCACAACCACCCTGCTCACAGCCGCTCAGTGGTGCAGGAGGCGGCCTTGCCAGTGCCGCTCCCCAGGGGAGGCCACAGCACGGGAGGGTGACCTGCCCCAGCTGCACCCAGGCTCTGCATGCTGGGGCCTTGGGGTGTGTGAGTCTGCATCAAGCACGACCGCCTGGCAAGTGCGCCGTATGGCCGCCCCTGGCACAGTGGGCTGGCCCCAAGGCCACGGTGCAGGTGCTGGCTTGACCTCTGGGGCCAGGGGTCTCTGTTTATAGGGTCTGGGTTCAGTCTCTAGTGGGACCCAGGGATTGAGACCCAGTAAGTGGCCAGAGTAGCAGTTCATTTTTATTTTTCAAAAAATTATTTTTCTGTTACACAAGGAAAGTACAAATGTTTCTCTTTTTTATAAAATAAATATTGCAGTTGAAGTTAAGCCCTCAGTCTCCATTTTTTCCTGGAGGAAGCCTCTGTTATCAGGTCATGTGTGTCCTTCAGACTTTATCGGGGTTATGTGAGTGAGCATGCACCCAGAGGCAATGGCTGTGGCTTTAACTGTTAGAGAGGATTCAGACAGGATGCCTGCTTTGTAGCGCAGAGTAGGTTAGGTGAATTCATTCATTCATCTGGTTCCTCATTTACTCACTCAGCATATTGTGTTGAATTCTGTGCCAGTTGCTCTTGGGCCTTGGGGGTGTCGCAGTGAGCAGAAACAGACCTGTCCCTGCCTTCCTGGCATTTGTAGCCTCGCGGGTGAGGCAGGTGCTCATTGGATCATCCCACAAAGGAGTATAAGGGAGCAGAGGCAGTGAGCCAAGAAAGAGGAAATAATTCATTCTTCCCAGAGGGGTCAGAGAATCTGTGATCAACAAGACAATGGAGTTGGACCTTAAAGGACAATATAACAGTTTCTAGGATGATGTGAGAGGTAGCAAACGTTCCAAGCAAAGGGAACTCTGTGTGCAGAGATACAGATGAATGAGGGGGCATTTGCAAGGAGTAAGGAAGATCAAGTGGCCTTGGTCATGGGGATAGGGCGCTGGACAGGTGGGGAGGGGACCTGTCTGCTCTGCTCAGGCTGTACGCGTAGTACAGACAGTCTTTTGGTTATTGGTGAGGCTTCTGTGGCAGGGGATGCTGAGAGAGGGGGGTTATTTTTACTCCTGAGTTGGTCTTGTGTGTTGGCCCAACAGAGAGTGCTTCAGAGCAGGCCAGCTTGCTAGAGGTGGGACGAGGCTTGGGGTAGAGGATGCCAGCCTCAGGGGAGGCCAGAGCCCAGGCAGGGAGGCCTGCACCAGGAACTGGATGGCAAACTGACCTGTCTGGACAGGATATGGTGCACTGATAGGACAGTTGCACAGGGCACTGGGGCCGGATGCTTCTGGGAGACCGGGAGGCTGCCAACAGACAGTAGGAGCACCTCCTTGCCTATGACTCGTTTCTGTTGCTGCAAACACATGGGCCACACCAGACACACATGTTTGCAAGGCAGCCTTGGACCCAGCTTGGCCTCTGGTTTTCCCAGGTGCTGAAGGCCAGAGAAAGAAAGGGGCTCTCTTGAGGCCCACTGGTGCTCTTCACTGAATAGTATTAAGAAAATTCCATGGCTTTTTTATTCTGTGTTTAATTTAAACCCATTTAAGAAACTACTTGGTCTGACAAATGCAAAGGAACTTGCCACAACTTCTTTGAAGAAATTTGGAAGATGTGCCAACATGTGTATTCGGATTGATCTTATTTCTTTCCTCACCAGCACTGGCCCGTGTTTGTGGAGGTTAAAGACCTGTTGACGTTGGTGCCACCCCTGGTGGGCCTGAAGGGGAACCTGGAAATGACACTGGCATCGCGACTCTCCACAGCTGTAAGTAGACACCTGAGCGTCTAGGCCACCTGTCCCCTGGGGTTGGCCACTGGGCACCTCCCAGTCTCGCCTTGTAGCTCGTTAGCAGGTGGGTTGTACTTTCTGGAAACACCAGTATCATGAAGGTTTGTTCTATCATGATGCTCCATCTGGTCACTCCTCCTGGCCTGGCATCCTGTTTTTCCATGGCCCAGCTAAACTGCTGACAAGGGCTGGACCCAGCCCTGTGTGCCACTGATTTAACCCGGTGTCAGGGGCTGCTCTGTGTCCCTGAGCCCAGCTCCACACACACATACAAGCTGTAATGAGCAGCACAGGCTTACTGGAGGGTTTGGGAGAGGAGATGGAGGATTTGGATCACCACACTGCCCACCTCGGTTAGAGGATTTTATTCTCTAGATTGGCTTCTTGAATGTTCCATCAGCAGAGGGATCTGTGGTTCACACTCTCCCTCTCGTGGTCACTCCTTCACCTCTTGTGGCTACCCTGAGAACTGAAAGTCTTCTTCCATTATGTAGAATGGTCTCTCCCCTTCTGTGAAGCCCATCTCACATCCAGTATGTGCATGGTACCTGTGGCAAGAGGAGGTGTGGTATACACAAGAGAAGGAAAGATGAGCGATAGAGCTGGAATAGTGCAGGCAAGGGGCAGAGGCTGCCTGAGAAGTGGGTGAGGGGCAGTCAGCTGGACAGTGGCCCCTGAGGAACCACACCCTCATCCATGGGGCCTGTGCCATGTGTCCATTCTCATGTGGACAGGGTCTTTGCAGGTGTGGTTAAGTGAAGGACCTTGGCCTGGGAGATGACCCTGGATTATCCAGGTGGGCTCCAGTGTCATCACAAGGGAGAGGAAGACAGGGGAGTTTCAGAAGAAAAAGTCATGTGAGGGATGCCAAGTCAGAGAATATGCTAGGCCACTGAATTTGAAGACAGAGGAAGAGCCAGGAAATGTAGTGCTATGTGCTAGGGAGGGAAAGAAACAGATTCCTCCCTAGAGCTTCCAGGGGAGTGAGGCCCTGTTGACACCTTGATGTTTGCCCCAGAAGGCTCGTTTCAGACTCTGGGCCTCCAGAACTATAGGAGAATGCATTTGTTGTTTCAAACCATGAAATTTGTGATAATTTGTTACAATAGTAATAGGGAATTAATGTGTAGGGCTGGATCATTTCTAGCCTCATAGGACATTGAAATGTTTTAAGCAGCAGATAACATGATGCAGACACACACATGTGTGATTATGTTGGTAAGTGTTTGAGAGGGAAGAAGTGTTGATTGCCATCTCTTCAGTTAAAGTATAACATTTTTATTTCATGATGCTTCCCTACATGTTAAACATTCTCTACAATGATCAAATCTTAGTTGTAATTTGTTTAAAAATACATCAAACAGGGAGGGCAAAGACAACTGGTAGTATAATTCATTACAGGTGTCTGTCCAAGGAGAATACCATTATCATCGCAGTAGAACCTTTGAAGGTACTACCCCCCCTTCTTTATTTTTGTTTAATTTGCTGTATTAGGTATAAATTAATAAAAATAGAAACTCACAAATATTAAGTGTACAGGTCATTGGCTTTTGACAGATCTGTGTCCCTGTGTAAGTACCACCCCAGTCGAGATCTAGAACATTTCCTTCTCCTCAGGAGATGTCTCCTGACATACTCTGTCCAGCCTCTCCTGCCACTCTGTCCTGGCAACTGTGATCCAGCTCCAGTCTCCTTAGATAAGTTTTGTTTTCAATGAGCATTCATGATTTAAAAAAAATATTCTTAGTGCAACTTGAAGTACAGGAATTTTTTATATTGTTTTATATTTACTTTGTTTTATTTACATTGTTTTATTGTTCCAGAACCTATATTGTTCTGGATGTTTTAGGTAATGTAATAAATAAAGAAGTAAGAGCCTTGAATATTGAGAAGGAGGAAAAAAACTCATTATTTTCTATAGATTTTGCCATTTTGGAAAAATCTAAGCAAATCAACTAGAAAACTATTAAACTAATAAGCTCAATAAAGTGATCTGGTTTCAAAATATCTGAATGAAATTTTAAAAATATATGTATTGACATACATAAATGTGTATCAGTGTATCCCTGTATACACTAGAAATAATCATTTATAAAATACAGTTAGAAAAGAGGTATCTTTCAAGCCATTAACTAATTTTAAAACATCTTCAGACTGAAGCCTCAGAAATGTTCAGGATTTATACAAATAAAACAGCAATACTTTACAAGGGAAATATAAATTTGGAGAGAGAGAGAGATCAAGTTCCTGAATGGGAAAAGTCAATGCTGTAAGTTACCAATTTTCCTTGTTTTAGTTTATAAAATTAGTGCTGTTGCTATCAGTATGCCAGAGGGAATTAGGAGAACAATATTATTTTAAAATTGACAATACTATTTTAAAGATGATCTGGATACATATGTGAGTGAGAATAGCCAAGGAAATATTAAAAGGAAAAGAGAAAGAATACTGATTTCCGCATTTTAGTTTTATTTTTTTCCAATTTTTAAAATAAATTTATTTTTTATTGGTGTTCAATTTGCCAACATATAGAATAAAACCCAGTGCTCATCCTGCCAAGTGCCCACCTCAGTGCCCATCACCCAGTCACCCCCACCCCCGGCCCACCTCCCCTTCCACTACCCCTAGGTTCCCAGAGTTAGGAGTCTTTCATATTCTGTCTCCCTTTCTGATATTTCTCACTCATTTTTTCTCCTTTCCCCTTTTTTCCTTTTTTTTAATAATAAATTTATTTTTTATTGGTGTTCAATTTGCCAACATACAGAATAACACCCAGTGCTCATCCCATCAAGTGCCCCCCTCAGTGCCCATCACCCATTCACCTCCCCCCCCGCCCTCCTCCCCTTCCATCACCCCTAGTTCGTTTCCCAGAGTTAGGAGTCTTTATGTTCTGTCTCCCTTTCTGATATTTCCCACACATTTCTTCTCCTTTCCCTTATATTCCCTTTCACTATTTTTTATATTCCCCAAATGAATGAGACCATATAATGTTTGTCCTGCTCCGATTGACTTACTTCACTCAGCCTAATACCCTCCAGTTCCATCCACGTTGAAGCAAATGGTGGGTATTTGTCATTTCTAATGGCTGAGTAATATTCCATTGTATACATAAACCACATCTTCTTTATCCATTCATCTTTCTTTTTTTTTAATTTTTTTTATTTATTTATGATAGTCACAGAGAGAGAGAGAGAGAGGCAGAGACACAGGCAGAGGGAGAAGCAGGCTCCATGTACCGGGAGCCCGATGTGGGATTCTATCCCGGGTCTCCAAGATCGCGCCCTGGGCCAAAGGCAGGCACCAAACCACTGCGCCACCCAGGGATCCCTCCATTCATCTTTTGATGGACATCGAGGCTCCTTCCACAGTTGGGCTATTGTGGACATTGCTGCTATAAAGGTGTCCCGGCGTTTCATTGCATCTGTATCTTTGGGGTAAATCCCCAGCAGTGCAATTGCTGGGTCATAGGGCAGGTCTATTTTTAACTCTTTGAGGAACCTCCACACAGTTTTCCAGAGTGGCTGCACCACAGCTTTGTAGTATCACCTGAAATCTGGCATTGTGATGCCCCCAGCTATGGTTTTCTTTTTTAAAATTCCCCTGGCTATTCGGGGTCTTTTCTGGTTCCACACATGATTTCCGCATTTTACAATGTAGTATAATGCTATAGTAATTAAACTATTTTGTAATCAGTGTCAGTTGATACTGATACACAACAACAGAACATCCAGAAATAAGCTCAGATGTATACAAATATGATCAATGGAACGCTGACATTTTAAACCGGTGAAAAATTATTACTTTTTAAAGATTATTTTAGGAGAGAGTGTGAGTGAGGGAAGGTGGAGAGGAAGAGGGAGAGAGAGAATACTCAAACAGAATCCCACTGAGTACAGTGCCTGAGCAGGGCTTGATCCCAGGACCCTGAGGTCATGATCTGAGTCAAAACGAAGTATTGGTCACTAAACCTCCCAAGCTACCCAGATACCCCCAAAAAGGATAAATTATTATTAAATGGTGCCAAGATCATTGGTTAATTCTTTTTTTTAATTTTATTGGATTTCGATTTGCCAACATATAGTATGACACCCAGTGCTCATCTCATCAAATGCCCCCATCAGTGCCCATCATCCAGTCACAACTCTTAACTCTGGGAAACGAACAATGGGTAGTGGAAGGGGAGGTGGGTGGTGGCATCATTGGTTAATTCTTTAGAACTTTTCCTTATGTCATTTATCAATATGTATGTTGAGTGGATTGAATAATTTAATGTGAAGCATGATACCAGGAAAATACACCATTATTTTTAGAATCTGGTGATAGTTTTTTAAGAAGCATAACAAATACAAAACCCATAAAGGAAAGATGATGGCCTCTTCTTTTTTTAAATTATTTTTTTATTGGAGTTCAATTTGCCAACATATAGCATATCACCCAGTGCTCATCCCATCAAGTGCCCCCCTCAGTGCCCATCACCCAGTCACTCCAACCCCCCACCTCCCTTTCCACTACCCCTTGTTCGTTCCCCAGAGTTAGGAGTCTCTCACATTCTGTCTTTCTCACTGATATTTCTGATGGCCTCTTCTTAACCGAATTGGAAACAATGTAATATGGTGGCCCTAGAAAACAAAGTACCCCAAACATTAGCTTAAACAGGTGGATTGTCTCACTGTTATGAGGGGCTGCATGTCCAGATCAAGGTGTTGGCAGGGCTGCTTCCTTCTGAGGGCCATGAGGGAGGATCTGTTCCAAGTCTCTCTCCCCACTTCTGGGGGTTTGCGGGAAATTAGCAGCGTTCCTTGGCTTGTAAACGCATCACTCCCATCCCAGCCTCATCACATGCCATTCTACCTGTGTTCCTGTCTGTGTCCAGATTTCTCCTTTTTGCCAGGAGGCCAGTATTAATGCCCATTTTACTCCAGTATGACTTTGTCTAAACTAATTACATCATTGCAACCCTACTTCCAAATAAAATC